TTATTTACGACCCTTATAAACATGCCTAAATGCTAAAAAACATTTATTTTACGCAAAAAAAAACTTTTTTTGAAAAGAAAAATATTACAGAGGAAACTGCATTTAAAACAATGGATTATACTCTGACTTATTAACTAAAACAGCAGCAAGAAGACCATTTGATTTTAAATACCGATGTATTATGTGGCAACACATAAAAGCACACATTGGTTTGAAGAAACAAAACATTCTAAAAATTTTTTTGCAAATAAAGTGCTTTTTTTAAATTATACTAAATTACAAATTTAAGTAGGAATTAAAATTATATTGGGAGGGGGGGCAGTGCTGGACTAAAGGGACCTAAAATAGTTTTGAAAATATTTTTCTCCAAAACAAATAGCCCTGGGCCTCAAAATGTCTTAATCCGCAACTGCGTGTTTTAGGGGAGGGGACAATACTAATGGGAAGGTCAAATAGTTGTTGGTCAAAATTTTTGTCAAAAGAACTTACGCCGAAAATACGGATAACAAATTAGGTCTTTTCCATCCTTTTTTTCTTTTATATCTTAATTTGTAATTTTTTTAAATTTGTTTATTTCCTAAAAACTAACTTCAAAATTATTTATTTGAAAATTATTGGGAGAGCAAATGCCCCTTCCTTCCCCCCCCCCCCCCCTCGTTGCTACGGGCATGAAAGAGGCGTTAGATAAATGGGTTTATCAGAACGGATAACCAGATATTCAGCACATGGGCAAAATATGCATTTTTATTTGAAATATGTATATAATGTATAATTGAACCTCAATACGAAAGTTTAAATTTTTTTAAATTTCTGCAAAGTGTACTCTTTAAAGTACACTAAAAATAGAATTCCAGAAATATGGTTAAAATAAAATGAGATATGATATTATACTTAGATATTGGTTTTGATGTAACATTAAATCAAAATTGAGCAGTCGTAGCGTAGTAGTGTCTCAGAAGCTAGAGATCCGTGGTTCGATGCCACTTCTAGGCAAGTTTTATAAAATTAGTAAGGAAGGAGGTGTGTACTTGTTTTCAAATGCTCTTCCGAGTTGCTCTGTGATAAGACCGTATAGACTTCTTGGGACACCTAAAATAAAAAAATGAAAAGAAAAAAAGTTATTTGAATAAAAATATGACACAAGCAATGCGGTTGAATTGCACATAAACAAGAAAACGTTTTTCCTGCCAAGAACTAGTACTTTTGTTTAGGTGTGAAATACTTAAATGTGAATAAATTAAAATCCTCAACGTTGTTGTTTTTGTAAACCTTTTTATACAAAATATAAAGAAGAATGTCTTTTATATAATGAAAAGAAGAAAAAGCTATAAAAACTGTAACAATTTTGTTAATTAGGTTTTGCACAGTTATCAGAATTGAAAGAAAAACGAATTTAAATTTTGGTATAAAACTGATCTTATAATGTAAAAAGTTAATGGTTATTGCACTTACAGAAACAAAATCTAGTCAATCGTTTAATTTTTGCAATGCTACACCAAACGAAATTAATAATGTTGGTTTAGTGACAAAAAAAAAAGAGTCTTGCTCTAACGTTCATAATAATTACACGGCTCAATAAAGTTATATATATGATTATCAGTTTTCCTATGACTGTTGTTTATTGAAACTAGCCGTGTAACACAAATATAATATATAATTAATAAGAATTGGAATATTCTCAGCACATAAAAAAAGAAAAATCGTTTTTAAAAATTGCCTCTGATAAATAAGGAATAGGAATGAAATTGTCATCATTTAGAAATATAAACATTAGATTTTCACTAATGAAAATAAACACTTTAAAGTATTTTTTTAAAATCTTAGGTCTTATTATTAGAATTATTATTATGAGTTTGTGTATTATATTAAATGTATTAATACTTATACAAAAAAGTTACTTATTTTTAAGATATAAATGAATTAAATTTTGCGGAACCACTCTCCAAACATCTGTTCGATACCAACCGATCATACCTCAGTCACATATACTAGTTTTATAATCAGGGAATTGAAGTATTAAACAAATTTTTTTTTTAAATAAATTTTGTAAATAAAAATGAGTCTTCATCAATAAAAGTTTTTAGTTTACATGAAAATTAGGTATAATGTTATGTGAACCAAATATGATGATTGGTGTTGGGAAACAATATCTTGCACTCCTAGCCAATCGTTTCGGAAAATTATGATAGATGTTTTGGATATGCCATATTTTCACTCAAATAATGTTTAAGCAGTATTTAAAATTAAATAGCTTCTTTAGTTTAAGCTGTACATCAAGTGTCTGGAGTTAATCGCCGTATAGGTACCCGACTCTCCCCTATACATTTTTAAGATTTTAAAATTTGAGAAATCTTTTGTATGGTCTTGCCACACTTTGACACACTGTGCAATGACGAAAAATACGCGCTACGTAAGACGTGTAACATATATAGTCGTAGTCGCAGTGTACTCTACATATATTGACTGACATAAATAGGGATAGGCATTATTTGTAATATATACCCTCATATCGAATGAGGGTATATATTACAAATAATGCCTTTAGGCATTTTATAAGTTAAAAACGTAAAAAAAGAAAAGCCGTTGAAATAATTAAAATATTTAAATACTTAACTTAAACTATTTTAAGCTTTCAAAACGTAATTTATATTTATTTCAAATACTTTCAAAAAAGTATATTTAAGTAAAAGAACACAGATTTAAAAAAAAATACTCAACCCTTTAGACGGCACCTTTTATTTTTAGACGTACATCCACATGCGCGGGTATTTTAAGTAAAACGCAACTTTTTACTAATGCAAATTTAATATGAAAATAATGTATAAAAAATAAATTTTGTGTCAAATATTATTGGAAAGTTAATTATAAAATTTATTTTTTTAATGAATATTTAAGTTTTATAAAATTTATTACCTCTCCTTTTACAACTAATACAACACAGCAGTTATTAATTGTGTTAAGAGAGTGCTTTTACGAAGAAAGATCCGAGTCTTCTTCCAAAACAAAAATTAGAGCGTCTTGGACAGATATTGATCGCCGTTTATCTACCATTTTTATTTTTATTTATAAACAAAATTAGTTCCATAGAACATTCGAGAATTGTCAAATCGAAGTTTGACCCAGTGTGGATTGTGTGTGGGATTCATGGGATTTATATGGGACGGATTTTCCCATGCGGTATACGTATGGAAATTTGCCACTTAAAACCCATATGGGTAAATCCCACATGGGTTACATGTGGTATTTAGCCACATGGGATTTTCCCATGTGGTATCCGTATGGAATTTCGCCACTTCAAACCCATATGGGTAATCCCACATGGGTTACATGTGAGAATCATATGGTATTTACCCATATTGGAAATCCCACGTTGGTTTCTTGTGGGATTTACATGGGATTTATTTGAAGGCTGAAAACTAAAATAATCTTAAATGTTAAAAACAACATTACATTACTTTCGCGGTAAAGTTACATGCATCTTGTTTTAGCATAAAAATATCTTAAATTAATCTTAAAAAATGGCAAGCAATTATGTAAGTACTACAAATAATTTGTATCTCTCTTTATCGAATATATATATATATATATATATATATATATATATATATATATATATATATATATATATATATATATATATATATATAAATATATATATATATCTATATATATCTATATATATATATATATATATATATATATATATATATATATATATATATATATATATATATATATATATATATATATATATATATATATATATATCTACATTTGAACTACATTAAATATTCTAAACAGGAGATTTACAGAAACATTTCAATTTTTAACCTGAATACCACTGTTATTGGGAATAAAGACTGCTAGGTTTTTAAAGTAATATGAGTTAAAGTAATATATCTATATCTATTTCTATCTATCTATCTATCTATCTATATATATATATATATATATATATATATATATATATATATATATATATATATATATATATATATATATATATATATATATATATATGTATATATATATATATATACATATATATATATATATATATATATATATATATATATATATATATATATATATATATATATATATATATATACATATATATATATATATATATATATATATATATATATATATAATTTATCTATATATAAATATATATATATATATATATATATATATATATATATATATATATATATATATATATATATATATATATATATATATATATATATATTTATATATACATATATGTAAAACTAATGTAATAAATAAATGTAAGATCAATTAATATGTAAATGTAATATATAAATAAAGTAATATGCAAATGTATTATATAAATAAAATAAATAATGTTGACAAAATCATCCGTCAGAGCATTTCAAGTAATTGCTACACGATTGTTGAAAAAGTCGAACAAGGCAGTTGCTATTATTAGGTATGTGGATTGAAAATTTTAAATTGATCAAAGGTTAGATTGTTATATATCATTAGAAAGTGCTTCAATACAGTATTTCAAAGGTTATTAATTATGAAAATTGGACTATTGTACAAAAAGTTATGACGTTTTTAGTCGCAAATTTTTGATATATGGATTTGTTGAAGAAACTGTGGTCAAAATTTAATTTTTCTTTACTTAAATTGTTATAACTTTGTCAATTCTTGTCTAAATACCTATAACTTAGTATCAAAAGATAGGTGTAACTGTGGGCTACAAATTTATAACATCGTCCACCTATTAAGCGTTTCCTGGGGGCTAGAGGGGGTGCCGAACCACCACCTTTACCCTAAAAATAAGCATATTTCTTTCAATAAAAAGTGTTTTTTTTTAACTAACGGTTATTTTTTTATACAAAAAATTGCTATAATTTTATTCCAGACCATCAATGATTGATGTTTATTAAAGTTGGTGGTGGGTATGGTGGTGATGGTTTAACACACCCTAATTTCAAAAACAATATAATTCTCTAATTATAAATAAATAAATATTTCTATATTTAATAAAATAAGTGAAACTAGTATACAGTATAAAAAACATAAAAAATTTTTTTGCTACAAGAAATTCATTTATTGGTGGTGTGCTTATTGACTTGTGGGAGGGGCTTGTGCCCCCCCCCCCCAACCTAAAAAAATAAATAAGTAAAATAAATAAATTTTTATAATAACAATTATAATTATTTTAAAATAAGTTAACAATTTAAAACCTGAATTAGGCTTTTTGCACCAAGTATAACCTACAAGCTAAAGATAAAGACCACAACCGAGCCTACTTTTGGAAAAAAAGTCTTTCCGCTGCTATTCGTAAATTTTGGTTAAGTTGAGAAGTTTGTTAAATAGGGTGGTAATGGTTACCCACAACCTACAATAAAAAGATGTTGAATTCTTAAAAATAATTGTATCTTTAACAAACAAAATAAATTAGTATACTTCATTTTTTGATATTTTATTAAATATATTTTATTTCATTACCAAATATATCAGTGTTGTATCCTATAAAAAAATGTAACAATCAATTTTATATTGTTCTGTATTAAAACATTTTAGATATCCTAAGTTTAAATAGTTGTCTTAGCATTTAGTAAATAATTAAAATAGTCAATTTCATAAATGGAACACTATAATAATCATTTGTAACAATAGACACCACGTGAAGATAAGCCAGAGCTGCCTATTAAAATATTTTGCAAGTCACAACACATGTGCAAAGGTCATTCCAAGTCAAATACTTTTATTCTTCTCTAAAAACATTTATAAAAAAAAGTAAAACAAAAACATATGGTTTAATACCAGGCATACCTGACTTGATATGACTACTTCTTCAAGTTATATTACTTACAATATCTTTATACAAGTTTCATTAAATGCCGTATCTGTTTTGTAAGTTTTATGACTTGCAGTATCTATTTTTAAAGCTTCATTACAAGTAATATCATAAGTTGTTACATATTACACTTCAAAAAAAAACAACTCTCCTAGTCCAACATCAGCGGAAGCTGATATTTTTTCATGTTGTAGTCAACAGCTTCAGTATCAGTATTACCTTTATTCCAGTAAGAAATTGTGCAAACTTTGTCTTGTTTTGTTTTATCAAGTTTTTCTTCTCTACCATCATACATGACATACTTCGAATACTTACTATTGTACCATTCATGGCAAAGTTTTTGCCCAACAATTCTATCTGACATTACATCATCTTAGTCATGACGTTGTTTGATAGACAATGTATTTAAACACTTTATTTCATTGTAAAAAAGTTCAAGCAACTGTTATTTTAACTTTCTTTTGTCTTTTTCATCCATTTTTTGGCATTTGCATACATGTTTTTTTGAAATATCTGCTCATATATCATTATGCTTCATTTGATTTATCATCTCTTTTTATGGGTTTCTGATCACATAACTATATTTTTATGGGTTTCTGAATAGACCACATAACTATATTTTTATGGGTTTTTGAATAGACCACATAACTATATTTTTATGGGTTTCTGAATCGACCACATAACTATATTTTCTCTAGATAATTGATCTAAATTTTCTAGATAATTTAATTTGTATGAAACATAACAAACTGTTGCATAAGGTGATCTTTCTTCAGCCTCACTAAACATTCCCATTAACTCTTCACTATTTATATCGTGCTGCCTTGCACATGCTACTTCCTCCTTGAGAGTCTGGTTAATAGAAAGTGAGAAATATCTCTTACATTGATGAGTTATGACGTCTCCTACTGCAATAAGACAAGCAAAAGTCATACTGATAAAGTGTTCATCAATCAAACAAAACATTTTTTATTGGATCTAAAATATTTGGCTCAAGGTCATTTTAAAAAGTGAACCTGGATTTGATTTAGAATCTGCAATTTTTAGTAAAATATTTTTTAATACCAGGATTCCACTATAATGGTCAAAATTTGCCTCCTCACCAGTCACACAAAATTTTGTCATCCAGGATGGAAACTGGATGACAAAGGTTTATGTGACTTTGAGGAGGTGGTTTTTCCAAATAATGCAAGCACACATTTTTGCTTTAGAGCGGTTTTGTTACAAAATACTGCTCTAAGAACTTTTTGTATAGTTCTACATATTACTGTTCTAATGGTTAAAAAATGCTCAAACTCATTTAATGTTTTATAAAAATAAAACAAGTATGAAAATAAATATGAAGACGATTTCCTCGATACCTTGGAATGATACCTTGTGGTAGTTTTTGATCATCTAAAAACTAACGAATCTTTTTGAATCACCTTTGCCATGTTTAAACCTCAACTTGTTCATAGCTAAAACTATTTTAAATGCCATACAATCATACCCAGCCATGAGGTAGCAATTATATCAAGAGCGTGTAAATGGCAGTTTAGCTCATTCAAACTTTCCCCTTAAATGTCACACAGTTTGCTTATGGTAAGATGGTTAATTGCAACTTTGGCTGACATTGCGTTTGATATATTTGAGATGATTGATTGATCACTATCATTAAAAGATGCTAAATGAAAATCTAAATAAAAGTTAGATGATCAACTGCTTTACATATATGCAAGCAAATATTCGTAACTAGCTATAAGCATTTTATTTGCCTTAATATTATGTACAACTTTAACTTATTTTAGCTTTTAAAGTTCTGAAAATTTCATTGCTTTTTTTTTAAGCTTTAAGATTGCATATTATCTTACTGTAATAATATGTTTGCAAATTTTGTTTAAGATCTCTAAGTTCAGCTCTTAAAACTTTAACAATTTGTTTCTTTTATGTAATTTTTGTCTCATTAAAAAGCACGGCATACAAGTTTCAACTTGTATGCCATGCTTTTTAATTTTGCCGTCACTATTACTAATTTATTTCAATACTTGCTGGATGTAACAGCAAGCTGAGAAGTTAAATAGGACAATCTGGTATTCAAACCTTTTTTTTCTAGGGCTTATTTCTCCTCTTGATTCATGCCTATTCATTGTTAACAGAATGTTTGGAAAATAAAGGCTTGTGATTTAGTGGTGATAAATTACTTATGTGCTCAAGTGGTGAATTATCTAAACTACTTAAAACAGTAGTAAGAGAACTACTTGGAGGGACATGATGATAGAAAGATAGGCAAGATTTGTGCAATGCATATACAGGGTTCATTACAAAATTCCTTAAAACGACAACTATCCCTTGTAAAGTTGCAAAACCAACTTTTGCATCTTTTCAAAACCCTAAAGAAATGTGGTTTACAAATGTTTAAACTAAATAATAGTTATAACAAATGACTAGACACTGTTAATGAATAAAAAAGATACATATCTATTTTTACAACAACTGCAAGTTTTGGCAGATAAAAAGAAGTGTGTATTTAAATACTCTTTAACTGTACTATAAACAAAAATTAAAGTTGCTTATTGTGCCTATTGCCGGGGCACAAAAAGCAACTTTATTTACAAAAAAAAATGTAAAGAAAGTCTTGAATAACTACCGAATAATGATATAACATTAAATTATAAACAATATTATACTTTTATTATTAAAAACATTTTTAATAATACTGTATTATTGCGTAATTAAAAAATACTATTTATACACACAGACAAAAATGCCAATGTATACTGACATCATAAAACATGTGATAATATAAAGAGTTTTTAAAATACCATCATACCTATAGCTAGAATTATAGTAATCAACGCTTATGTTTTCAATTTCAATGAAACCAATAAAATTTTAGAAACTATAAACAAGTCACACTAAAATAAATAGTAATTTTCACTTTTAAAATAAAATAAACTCGTAAAAATATACAAACTAATATTAATTAATATAAAAAATCTAATAAACTACTTAAGAAAAAGAAAAAAACATCTTATTGGCAGTCTATATCTAATTGTATTAATATATATATATATATATATATATATATATATATATATATATATATATATATATATATATATATATATATATATACATATATATATATATATATATATATATATATATTATTATTATTATTATTATTATTATTATTATTATATATATATGTATATATATATATATTATTATATATATATTATTATATATATATATATATATTATTATATATGAAATATATATATATTTTTTTGCAGTAATTTGTTAGATTTTTTATATTAATTAATATTAGTTTGTATATTTTTACTAATTTATTTTATTTAAAAAAAAAAATTATATATATATATATATATATATATACATGTATATATATATATATATATATATATATATATATATATATATATATATATATATATATATATATATATATATATATATATATTAGGTACGTGGACTGATTTTTTTTAATTGAGCATATAATAGAATGTTATATATCATTAGAAAGCCCTTCAATAAAGTATTTTAATGGTGAAAAAATTATTAAAAACGAACAATTTAAAAAAAAGTTATGACGTTTTTAGTAGCAAATTTTCGATATATGGATTTCTTGAAGAAACTGGTTCCAAAATTTTTTTTTTTTTCACTGAAATTGTTATAACTTTATCAAATCTTATCCAAATGCCTATACCTTGGTATCAAAAGATAGATGTATTAGTAGGCTACAAGTTCATATAGTTTTCTAGATAAAAGGGGTGTCTAGAGGGCCAGAGGGGGTATCGGAACACCATCGTAACCTTAAAAAAATACAAGTTTTTCACACGAAAGAGTATTTCTCTGTTAAATTTGTTATCTTTATACACAAAAAGTTGTTCTAATTTGCTTCCATTACATTTCCAAATATTAGTTGTATATTTTAGATTAAAGGGTGGATGTCTTTGTTACGTTTTAACACCCTCGTAGTGAAATGTTACCATCTTATAAATATTTGAACCTAAAAAACAATTTTTTAACACATAATATTTTGTGTTAAAAAGATTAAATTATATTTTTTCACATAACAGCATATACAAGTGGTGCATAAATTGAAATTAGGAGCGGGACGATGCCACCCTTAACGCCCCTCCCCCCTTCCTCTCAGTCTTCTCCAAACTAAAAAAAAATGTTAAAAGATATTTGAAAAATGGTTTTAAACTGAGTTTATTTAAAAAGAGAAATTAGTATTCAAGATTATTTTACCATGTTAGTGAAGGGAGGGGTGTGTGCCACACCCAACGCCCCCCCTCCTCTTCTTATTTAAACTTTAAAAAAATGTCAATAAAAATTTCAAAAATGTCTTTAAATTGTGGAAAAAGAGAGACATAACTTTACTAATCTTACCACATTACAAGATGCAAGTTTGAGTATCCACCCTAAAAATTAACCAAAGTTTTAAAACTTATATTTTAAAAAGTTTTAAAATACAAAATATATAAATTTATGTCTTGGCTTTTAGTAAATGATATTACTTAAAATTCCAATGATGAAACTAAATAATTCATTTTTAACAATAGACACCAGGTGAAGGTAAGCCAGAGCCGTCTATAGGCACCATATGTAAGATCAATCTTTTTTCACTTCATCCGCAAACATTGCTTCACTTTTTTTTGAACCAATAATTCTTAAATATATATATATATATATATATATATATATATATATATATATATATATATATATATATATATATATATATATATATATATATATATATATATATATATACAAAGAGTTAAATACCATAGTTTTAAATAAATTTTTTGAAAAGTAAACAAACAATATATAAAAATTTGTTAATTATTAATAACATTATAATAAAACATGTAAAAAAAAATCTCATACATACCTTCTACAAACAAGTAATGGTTATGTAAATATAATATTTAGGAACTGTAAACAACTTAAACTGGTTTAAAATCAAACAATTAAACTGGTCTATAATCAAATAATATTTCTTAACTCAAAAAAACAGTATATAAACTAAAATAAAATAAAGAATAGTAATTAGGTATGCAAAGATATTTAACATTTATTAACTCTATAAAACATTACATATAAATTTGAAACTACATTTAATATGTGCTATGAGAAAACCTCAAAAACTTAAAACCTCAAAAAATCCTAAACGCATTAAAAAGTCTATAACTATTTATAGTTACAACTTTAATACTTTCTACACTACAACTTTTAATCACATTGAAAACATACAAAATAGATCCCTTGCAAACTATTACACCTGTCAATGCTTCGTTTTTAAATCATTTTGTGAAAGATTTAAAATAAATAAATCAAATGTTAATAATTGTAAAAATTGGGACAAAATGGAAAACAAACTTGATAATGTTACATATTTGTTTTAAAAAAAAACAGGCAAGGTGGCGCTTAGTAATAGTGGATACCACCATTCACGACAAGGCCGCCACCATTCTGTCTTTGCCCACAACCTCCTCCACGGCTTCCTTTTCTGCTGTAGCTCTCAGCACCCCTGTTAGGAGGATGATAGACCCAGCTGAATGATTCACCATTTTTCCCTCCTAACCGGACCCACCGCAAAAATGACCGATTACTAATTGGTCTAGGGTACTGGACCCTAAATCTGTAGTTGTTGTGGAGGTTGTGGGGCTCAAGGTAAAATTTTTAAAAATAAAATTACAATTTACTTGCTATCGATAAGATATGCATACACATATTAGAAAATAATAGTTTATAAACTTACCACTTGTAGCAGCTGAAGGTGTAACTAAAGGTTAACAAAGTTGAAGTAAAAATAAATATTGTGATTGCCAAGAAATGCATAAACATATTGAAAAGTGAAAGTTTGTAAACATACCAATTATTGTAGATGTAGATGGAACTAAGTTAAAAAAAAATGTAATAAAAAAGAAATATTGCAATTGATCCGAAATACATACATACATGCACAGGTTTTTTGAAGGATGCAATAAAAATATTTTTAAGCTTACCACTCAATGCAATTGAGGATGGAACTAGAGCTAAAAAGTTTTAGTAAAAAATAAATTTGGAAGTGTCAAGAAATGCAAAAATTAAAAATTAATAATTGCTAAACTTACCACTCATTGCAGATGAAGATGTTGCTAAAGATAAAAAAAGTAATAAAAATAAATAAAATAAGCTGGGTAGATTGAACTAAAAATAACAAAAAAAAGTGTATAATTACAACAAAACACTATGAAAAGAAAGAAATCATAATTCTGTGGAAGATGCAACAACTGTATTAACATAATGAAAGCTAACATTGAAAATGTAAAGAATATATATTAATAAATAACAAGCTAACATTAGGAATGGTTATTCACTTTGTTTATATATTAATTAGGTTATATTGGTTGTGGTTATATATAAAATATTTGATTTATACTTACGACATCTCAAAAAGGCTTCATAATGTGCAGCAGGATCTAATCAACATGTAAACATTAGGCATGCTTGTATTATGATTTAAATAATAATCCACATTATAGAATACATTATACACACAAGTATACAATCCAAAAATAATTAAAGATGATACTATCAGTTAACAATACATTCAAAAGCAAAGTTTTAAATTGAAGCATTAATCTTCTTTTTTATGTAACATATAAAAACAGATTAAGAATTAATCTGTTTTTATATCATTAAAAACAGATAAATTATATGTTACATAAAAAAGAATTTTAAATCAGAAAATATTCATAAATGATTTATGAATATTTTTTGATTATAAATAGTTATTATTGATATCATTATAAAAAAAATTAAACTTACTATCTGTTATAGATTCAATAAAACTTCTGTCAGAATTCATTTTTTATTTTAATCTAATAATAAAAATCGAAATAATACGATATTAGGATTTGTTATTTTTTTTTGTATAGTCGGCCCCTCTATCCACCCCCGTATTAAGCTTAACGAAAAAAACAACAGAAAAACCAAAATTATGTACCAAAAGTCCAACACTAAGTATACTATCTGCTACCAATTATTTTTCGTTGATTTTTGGCAGGTGCTAAGAAAATGCATGTAAAATATAGAAAAACTAACAAAAAAAGCCGGATCAACATTCCTTTGACAACAAATTATTGTGAGAACAGGGACAAAATTTTCATGCAATATTGTCAGCAAAATAATCCATAAAAATGTTGGGTAACCATACATAAAAGTCATATAAAAATTTAGATCAACCTTTCTCCTTTATGAAAATAATTTATGTTTATACATGTTTCTTAAAAGAAACACACAAAAAAACGTTTGCCTAAAGCTACCTAAAATAAGTGGTATACGTAATATAACACATTTTAAACTATCTGCTACCAATTATTTTTCGTTGAAATTTGGCATGTGCATAGAAAATGCATGTAGAAAATTGTCTGAATAAAAAAAAAAACCGGATCAACATTTCTTCTACTACAAATTCATGTGAGAACATCAACCAAATATTCAGAAGCAAAATAATCGACAAAAAAGTGTAATAACAATACATAAATTTATTAAATAAAGCAAGATTAGCTTTTCTTCTTTTTAAAAAGTATCTATGTGTATATCTGTTTCCAGTGCCGGCCTTAGGGGGGGGGGCGAGGTTAGGCGCCGCCCAAGGGCGCCAGGAAACTGGGGCGCCAAACGTTGTATGCAAACTTTAACAATATAATAAATAGAAAAAATAAGTCAAGGGATCGTCCATAAATTACGTAACGCAAAATTTCACAAAAAACAAAACAAAAAAAGATCAAAAGTTTTCCCTCGCACAGTCTTAATTTAAATAAACAATGAAAATAGGAAATTAAGTCAAATGAAAATCGCCGCGTAAAAGAGCCTAATATCTCCTACTCCTGTTCTTAAAATATTTTTTGCGTTGCGTAATTTATGGACGATCCCTAA